GGTGAACCTCTAATTTGTGATTGGTTGAATAATTAAAAGACATGACAAGACTTTTGTCCTTGCAAAAACAGGTGTTATGGACTTTAACAAGCTGTGAACATCAGGACACTTTTTGACTGTTTCATTTTGCACCCAGTTATTAATGTGAAAACCCTTGGCATTAAATTGATCCATTCATTGTAACAATTGATTGATTAGAAATAAAGTTATATGCCTTTTTAAGTTACTATGTCCTTATGTGACAAGACTTTTGTCAATGACTGTATATATATCACAGTATAGTACAAGGTCCTCTTTTTGTCTTAATTGCTGTGTCATCTTTTTGCCCTCAAAGTGTGCCCTGTGTAAAAATGTCTTCAAACAATTTGGTCTAACAGTGATGTTCGGTGAAGGGAAGCTAAGTAATCCCAAGGACTTAGTAGTGAAAACAAGGATATGGTGGTTTATCCAATCGATGTGCAGGTTTTGTTTAAACATGGTGTTGATTCGTTTAGCAATATGCAGATTAGAAGAATACGGGTGTTTTGTCAGCTGATTAATTTGACATGCAGTTCCAGCTCGAACTGGAACAAAAATGTCCTGAAATAAGCTTTCTTGGAAAGTAGTTAATGTTCAAAGTGCATGTCTTGTCCCGCCCCAAACGCATTTTTTTGGCATTGTTTACTTGCATGTCCAGCGAGCAGGTCCTGTAACTGTATGGTGTCTGCTGTTCAGTCCGTACGCTTGTGGAAAGTGTGAATCCTTCGACTTCATACAGTGCATCTGTTCCAGGCTGGATGTCTCCTCTTGGGTCATTGAACTCAAATATTTAAAGCAACAAAATCCCTTCCTGCATGCCACTTATAGAACTCGAGAGTTGAGTAGAAGCAATCAGCCAAGGACTCGGACTCTCAGTGCTGCTGTTACATAACAGTGTGTGCTGGAGATTTATATGTGTGTGTCAATGTCCCAGTGCTCACTGCGATGTTTGTGTACGATTGCATAGCATGTTACAGGAGCAGTATGTGTTTTGGGGGAATGCATATCAAAGCCTTGCCTGTGAGGAACGGAGGGTAATGTGTGTGTGTGTGTGTGTGTGTGTGTGTGTGTGTGTGTGTGTGTGTGTGTCTAGGGCTATGTGATATGATATATATCGGATGATGAAATAAAAACATCTATTGTTTCATATTATGCTCTATCATGTATTTCATGGTGTTGCAGAATACCTCGTTTACAGCAACATTTATTGATCATGCCATTGAATATTCAGAATATTTCAGAACAGATCCACATATCCCCACATACGCCATCAAGCGAAAATGCCAGGGAGGTATACCCGGAAGTGGGTTCAGGTTTAAACGTTAACCATGACACCGTGGTAGAGCTTTATATTCAGTTTACCGGCTGTAATATCTTTCAACAAAAGCAAACCACATCCCTTGGTTTTTCAGATTTCTTTACGGGGCGAATTTTACTTGTTTCAATTTTTGCATGTGCACTGGACGTTCAATAGCCCCCCTGTCTCGTTTACAGTTCGTGACGATGAATGGACAGAGTGAAATTATTAATATAAATGTATAAAAACACACTTATAAAAGTTACATGGAGTTCATTGTCCCCCATAGTTTAATGCTTTAAAGCAAACTGAACTGGACAAACCACAAATGAATCACTATCCACAAATATGTATTTTTACTTGTGCTGTGTAAAATCATATCCACAAAAATGCGGAGCGATTTGTATATGTGAAAAGGGTTTTGCGCATTTGTGGATCACACAACATTTGCGGATTTTTGTCCAATTCGTACAGCAGCTGATCCGTAAAAAAAAAAAAAAAAAAATCCAAAAATATGAGGTGCAGTCGTGATGTATATGTCCTATCGGGGTATGAGATGACTTGTATCGGGGTATGAGATGACTTGTATCGGGGTATGAGATGACTTGTATCGGGGTATGAGATGACTTGTATCGGGGTATGAGATTTTGGTCATATCACACAGCCCAGTATGTGTGTATAGATAGATCCATGACACAGGAACCAACAGGGCACCAGCCCAATGCAGGGCGCACAGTCATTCGCACATAGTCTATTTAAATGTTTCCAGTTTACTTAAGTTGCATTTTTTGGACAGTGGGAGGAAACTGGAAGAACCAAGCGTAAACCCACACACTTGGGGAGAACGTGCAAATTCTACACACACAAAGCGGTCGTGTGCGACAGCACTACCCACTGTGCCATCGTCAGTGCTAGGCTTGCACTGTTCGCATTGATAATATCAACACTGCATGTCCTTCCTATGCAATTGTCACATTGCAAAGACCACTTGGTTGAGCTGGGTTAAGACCGTCAACAAGTTGCACTACAACATCTTTAGTGTCGAAGGGAGCTAAAATTTGGCAAGCTTCGCAGTCTTAATGATGGTTCCATTTCAATATTTAGTATGTAAAAAAAAAAAAATAATAATAATAATTCCCGCTCCTGGTTTTGCATGATCTCTGAGCACGTGCTCAGCTAGTCATTTGGCAAGCTTCGCAGTCTTAATGATGGTTCCATTTCAATATTGTATAGATGACATTATTGTTCTTGCTGTTTGACTCAGTGTGGCATATTTCTGACAAATGTAACAAATGATTGAGGATAAAATTGAACCGGAACAATGATACTGAGCAAAAGTAAGTGATGTCCTCCCAATTTGCAGCAGCACCAGCATATTTGATAGACTATTTATACTAAATTTCTACTTGGCTATAGTTAATTTTCAACCCCTCACAAAAACTATATCACAAAAACTTAAAATGTTTTAAAATGTCTAGTCTCCAATATCATTCGGCCTTAATCAAATCGCGCAGTATGTTCACAAAAGAAGGTCATGCACCATATTGTATAGATGACTGGCATTTTAAAAGCGTTTATTTTGTGATATATAAATCATAGAAAGTAAGTTAAATTATGCTAAATAACGTAAATGAAAGTGACAAGAAAGACAGGCTAGGCTAGTCCGAGAGGCTAATCAGCATTTGTCTGCGGCTAACTTGTGGTGAGCTTGTCAAACCTGAATGCCGCCTTTTAGGATGTAGTTGCATGGCAGTTGTACCGTTGTGATATTTAAGTTCTGCTTTGCCGTACTGACTGACTGCATTTGTCATTCACTTTTAATGTGAAGTGCTTCCACACAACTGAGGCTTCAGCTCTTCATCTGGACCCTCATTTCTTATGTACCGTCTAACTTCCACCATATTGCCAAGTAATCAAAGCAATTTTAATCGATGTGGTTTTTCTTGTAATTGAGTTTAATCAAGTAGTCATGATTTTGCTGCTATAACATGATTGGTGTTGGGATTTGTTGCTGTTTGGCCGTAAGAGCATTAGTGAGGTTGGATACTTGGTCGTTTAGGCCTGGGCCTGCTGTCAGCTTTGCAGTTCATCCCGCAGGTGTTCAGTTGACTTGAAGTCAGTGTCTCCACAGGCAAGTCAATTTCTTCCATCAGCATCTCAGTAAAGTACTTCTGAACAGACTTTGCTTTTTGTGCTGTAGCATTGTGCTGAAACAGGAAAGGCCACTAACCACACTGATACCACAAACTAGGAAGCTCACACTTGTCAAGAATGTCATTCTATGCTGTAGCATTGCAGGTTCCCTTAAAGGCTGCAGCACAAACCACGAACAGCCCTAGATCGTTCCTCCTCCTCTACACTTATAAACTGTATTATGAATTGCGGAAGGTAACATTCTCCTGGCATCAGCCAAACCCAGACTTTTTTGTCAGATTACCATTTTGCAAAGCAAGAGTCATCCCTGCGTGTGTTTGCACTGCTCCAAAATTCAGTGGTGGCGAGCTTTATACCACCACAACCAAAGCGTGGCATTGCGTGGTGGTTTTTAGTCTTGCGTCATGGGGACCCATGTTGAGCTCTAGACGAATAGCGTTTGCACTGATGTTGCTTACAGAGACAGGCTGGAACTCCACAGTAAGGGTTCCAGCTGAGGATGTGATTTCTACACACTGTTCATGCCCCCTTTCTGTGAGTTTCTGTGGCTTCCCACTGCACAGTCGAACTGCTGCTCGTATACAGTTTCACTTCACAATCGCTTCATTTCCGGCTGACTAGGGCAGCTGTAGCAGGGCCGAAATTTGACTAACTTGTGAGAAAGGTGACATTCCATAATGGTGCCTCATTGAAAGTCATTGAGTCTTTCACTGTGACCTATTGTATTTCATTGTTAGGTGCTAGTGCGTGCATGTCAGTGTGTGTCAGCAATTGGCTGGCTTTAATTAGCTGATTCCTCTAATTAAAAAGGGTCTAATTGGGTTATGCAGTGTAGGTATTGCCATAATCCTTGTGTGTTGGCTGTCAGTGTTTTTTGTTTTTTTTCTTTCCTCCCCCAGGTTTTGGTTTTAAAATTTACAGATCAATCAACAGGTTTGATAGGCGATGTAGGGGTAATGGTTTATGCATAGACCTGGTCAATAATTAATGTGTGTCAGGTTTCGCAGATACAGTTTTTGGCAGTTAATTGTAATGGGCAGAATCTACTGAACTACTTTTCACATCAGTGTCATCCGAAAATGTCTCATGCCTGGCTTACTTATTTGTCTGATCTTGTTTAAAACATTATCTAGATAAACCAGAGAGGAAACTGGTGGAGAGATACATGGACATATGATGAGACATCCAAAAAAAATATGAATATTAAATCAAAATTCTTACAACAGTATGTTCCAGCTCTGGTTTTAGAACAGTATATTTTATTTCATTATCTCCAACATCCAGTTCTGTCAGGTAGGTAGGCCTTTAGAAGGCATATCAATATCTTATACCCAATCTGAGGTCATGTTATGTGATTTGATTTGAATCATCAGAAGAACTTCAGATTATTAAGTGAAAAACAATCACATCCTGCTCATAACACTAAAGTTGAAGCAATGCGACGTATTCCACATCTATTGTCCTTGTGATTACCCTTTCCGGCATTCCCCTCAGAGCAGTAACGGTATCTTTCCCTGTTGCTTCTTCGCAGATCGCCGTCATGACGTTAACGTTATTTCCTGTCCGCCTCTTCTTCGCCGCCTTCATGATGCTGTTGGCCTGGCCCTTCGCCTTCATCGCCACCGTCGGCCGCTCTGAGGAAGTCGTGGAGCCGCAGTGCTGGTGGCGGAGGTGAGTCATATTAACCTGGGCTTTAGGCCTGGCCCCCCTATTGCTGTTACTATGACCTACGGTGTGCTGATGTTGGGTCACCTGCTGGTCGTCTCTGTATGTGCCCTCTGCTTTTCACTACCGCCGCCTTGTGTGGAACAGCCTTGTGTCTGTCAACAAAATTTTTTATTTTATTTTATTTTTTATTGCGCTTCCACTGTTCCTAAATTAGATAGCTACAGCTGACTTTATTCACATAAAACGTGGCAGTGCGTGTGCCTACTGCCATACTGCGGTTTAATAAAAGCCCTCCCTGCTGTTCCCACTCTTTCGCTTACTATTTGTATTGTCCACAGCAGCTGTGATTTGATGCAATCCATTTTTAGACCAGTACCGAAATGTTTGGGAATCTAAAATATCTTTAATGCCACCTTGTCTAACAGCCTTCAACACCCAAGTCATTTTGGTAGAAGATGAAATATATAAGTAAGGATGTAACTCCGTGCAAGTTCACATGATAGTCCGTGTAAAATTAAAGTCTTGTTCATACTTCACATTTCCGCATGTCTTTACGATTATGCGCCCAGAGTCTTGTGCACATACTATATTTGTCCGTGGACGCACACGTCACGGTCTGCGCATCCGTATAGCGATGATATTCCACCAGACCAGTAGAGGGCAGGTGTATTGCAGCAGACACGAGTACAAGTTGTGTAGTTATATGGGTAAACCTTTTTATAGTTGAACTGTAATGTGACAAAATGAACGAAAACTTAAATGTTGTCTGCAAATACTCAAAAACACTAAAGTGCATTGTAGAGGTCGACCCATATGGGTTTTTCAATAGCCGATGCCGATATTTAGGAGTCAGGGTCAACCGATGGCCGATATATGCTGCCGATTTTTTTTTTTGGCCGATAATTGGACGTTTTCCCCTCTATTTGCATGGTAAAATATCTCACTAATAATAACAAATGATACATTTAACAAACCGTTTTCTCCGCCATGCATTGTTCTTAGTAGCTCTGCGTCTGAGAACGGTGCTGTCTGTGATCGGGGCAGAGTAACGCAACTCTCACACACGCTGCCTGCTCCGCCCCACACACACACAGTGAAGAAAAAAAACAGAACTGATAACATCGGGCTGATATGGTAATAATTAAAATCTTAACACTTAAAATGTTAACACTTTTTTTTTTTTTTTTTGAATTTTTTTATTTTGATGTAGCAGCTTAAACAACAGTACATTATTTCCAAACAAATGTAATTACGTCGTTCTCTGCCAATCGATTTCTTTTTAAACATAATACAGAACTAAATGAACAAAATAAAATAAAATTCAAATAATGTTATTAATAACAATAATCATTTGTACAATTCAGGGGAGGTTAAACATAAACTTAGTAATCATACACTGTACTGAATAATGTCAAGTGTTTTAAAATGATTTTTAATGATTTAAAAAAATGTTTGTGAGCCCATCAACAAGCGCACAAAACTGTCGGAATCAATGATCCCTAACGTTACCTGTAAGCTACAGTTGGTTGAAGGCTCATTATCATTACACCAGTTCCCGACAGTTCGTGTTCTCTTTCAAAAGCGATCACGCTTTATTTTAAAGCAACATTTCATACCAAACCAATTAAATAAATAGGTCTTTGAAAGACCAGAATTTAAGCCTTACCGGTTTCTCCCAGGACTCTTCCAAAACTTCTGGCTGGGGTCCTGCACAAGGCAGCATGGGTCACGTGTTCCACAGCAACAATAGCACTGGGCTGCCCGCAGACGTGCCTGTCCGTAAATCGGCAAACTACACTCGGATATCGGCCGATGCCAATACATAAAAAAAATGCCAAATATCTGGTAACCACATGTATAACTCTAGTTCATTGTATATGCAGTGTTCTTGACATATCAAACATATTTCTTTGCCAGTAGAAATTATGTTCTTTGCCCAGGGATTTGGAGATTTTTTTTTTCTTCCTTTTTCAACAAATTCTTGCAGCAGTGTGTGTCTCTGTGCTCCATCAGTGTTGAGTTATACATGTGGTTACCAGCTCTTCTTCTGGCACCTGCTTACTGGAAACACCCGACACGTCGGCAGTCCACATGCACCCATGCATGAGAAGTTCTGGGCTGCACTCGCACAGCGTGCTCTGGCAGCCCTTATGGCGAAATGTACGTCAATGAAGGATGCATTGGCCAAAGGGAATTTTAACCTAGGATCATTTTCACATAGGTGTGGTCGCAGTCTGAAAACTACGGAACTACCTGTAGATATGTGGCTTTTTAAATGTTTTACATGTTTTTGTTATTAAAGTGTGTTAACCTGCGCGAATGTAATTTTTAAACCCTTGCTGTTACATGAGTGGCTTTTAAGTGATTTGCCCTTTGTGTCTGTGGGGTTTCTTTGGTGACAGGGTGGTGGATGTGATTCTGAAAGCCATTATGCGGGCGATGTGGTTTGCCGGGGGCTTCCACTGGATGACTGTGAAGGGGCAGCAGGCTTTACCAGCTGAAGCGCCGATCCTCACGCTCGCTCCGCACTCTTCCTACTTTGATGCCATTCCCGTCACCATGACGATGGCTTCCATCGTGATGAAGGCGGAGAGCAAGGACATCCCAGTCTGGGGCAGTAAGTGTGTCTGTGCCATCATGCACGTCTGCGTTTCAGCTCATTCAGTGTGTTTCATTTTTCTTAACTGTCCTCAAAGTTCTAGTGTTTAACCGTTCTCCCCAGCTCAGAAGCTTTTATCGACTTTTCACGTCACTGATGGCTTTAGGAACACCTACTATTCCAAGCCTAAGAACTTTCTGGTTGGTAGGCTTGAAGATGGCACTCTTCTGTCTCCAGAGCCGAGGAGATGGAGAACCACATCTGGCCACATTGGCAACAAAGAACCAGTTGCTCTAGTTACCAAGTTGGTATAACTGCACCAGCTGTCATGTTGTGCCATTCAGTTGGATTCGTACTGGGGAATTGTGACTTTGGGCCAGTTGTTACCATGTCTAAAATTCACGAAGCAGGACTTCCCAAATTAAAAGTGGCATCCGTCGCTACTTCATGGCCAGGGGTTGTTAAGCATGCGCCCAGGGAATGGTGTATGGCTATTTTAAGGCCCACAGGAAGTGTCAGTAGTGTGTAATTTAAAAGAGGCATAATTCCTTGAGTGGCAGCTCCCCCCACCTCTGTAATTCGCCTGCTGGTACTTGCTGCACCCCCCCATGATCTGTGCCCTGCCAGACACGTTCCTATAAGTTTGAATCATTACCGTGCTGTCCAGATAGCTGCATGATCCCCGAGGGCCTGGTGACAGATGGCTTTCTGGGAGCTGCAGAGCCTGTCAGCACGGCTGTCAGATGCTGGGTGCAGCACGTCCAATCAGCAGCGCCCGGCGAGGGGACCTTGCAGGGAGGCCCGAGATCAGAGGGCGGCTTCGGGCCATGGGGTTACGGGAAAGAGAAGGAACGGGGGCGTGTGAGAGATGGAGTTGATTGACCTCTGTGTGCTTTGTGTGGTCCTCACCAGCCAGAGGGAGGAAGTGGGCTGATTGTATGCTTGTTATAGGACACGCAGTTGTGGTCATTAGGGGTCATGTGATGGCCTTTCTATGGAAATGTGCTGCACCCAGTAATATAGAACACAGTCTGTCTTGGTGCATGTGTGTTTGCATGTGTTTTTAAAATATCTAGCAGTTTCAGAAATGCATGCCGGTTTTTTTTTTTTTTTTTTTTGCCTGGAACACAGTGTCTATTTAGATTGCTTTCTGTGCTGGAAATAGTTCTTCAAAACCAATAATAATGCAGGATTTGACAAAAATAGATGACCTCAATGGAAAAATAGAGCCCGTAATTAATGTTATGACTTCATGGATTAGCCAGGTTGGCACCTGCTTGTTGATTAGAATCCACCAAATTAATACAGAGACTTTCTTCCTGCTAAACAAGCTGTGCTGTTATCAGGAAGGAGAGTGGTTCTCTGTGGTTCTCTGTGTCTAGATACCATCAAAGCACGGAACCCTCCTGCTTGGATATAGGGAATGTGGCTTCCGGCCTGAGCTGGTTTGGTTTGTGGTTTGGCAGTTTGTCTGTGGTTCTTTTTTTTACTTGGTCTATTCAGTTATGTTTTACACTCCCCCCCCCCCCCCCCCCCCCCCCCCCCCCCCCCCACCTAAGCTGCATGAACTGGACCTCATTAACTGACATGCCCATTACTTGAGGCCTTGAATTCAGAGCTGAGTAATTGCACATCAGAGTAGTGATGTAAATTCAAACGAGTCGACTCTGAGCCACCATACGCAACCGGAGACACTACGACGCCCATGATGACTGTGGTCTCCGTCTCTTCTCCTTTTCAGCTCTCATCAAGTACATCCGGCCCGTGTTCGTATCGAGGTCGGACCAGGACTCCCGTCGGAGGACCGTGGAGGAGATCAGACGTAGGGCCCAGTCCGGAGGGGAATGGCCACAGGTAGCGGGCCGGACTGATCACATCCGTGTCCCACCGTTTGTTAAAGGTGGAAGTAGTAATCCAGCACAGCAAAAACGTGGGCGTCTTGGCAATGGGAGAGGGAGAGGTTATCTATGGCTTAAACTGCATTTCTGTTTTCTCCTACTATGAATTTCAGATTATGATATTCCCTGAGGGAACATGCACAAACAGATCCTGCCTGATCACATTTAAGCCTGGTATGTGTTTTTTTTTCTTTCCACCCCCTTCCTTCTGTGTGTGTGTGTGTGTGTGTGTGTGTGTGTGTGTGTGTTAGTTAGTTACCGGGTATACCTTACCTTATGGGGACACAACGTCCCCACAATGTGATGAATACCCGTTTGAGTTTTCCCTTAAGGGAAACAATTTAAAAAAAATCTGTGACTGCAATGACAAAACAAAAAATGCAAAAACTCTTCTATTTTGCTTGGTTACTTATGGTTATGGTTAGGGCTGGGTAGGGGTTAAGGTTGTCACAGTTAGCGTTAGCATTTTCCCATAGAAATGAATGAGCGGTCCCCATAAAGATATGTTTACCTGTCGTGTGTGTGTGTAAATATTATTACCATGCCAGCAGAATTGTACTGATGTATTTAAGATGCTGCCCGACCTTGTGCACAATCGCTAGTCCAGACTGGGAGTCCCTCTGTTTCCACTCTCCTTCCTTCTGTCTTTAAATAGCCCTGTGCACCTCTCCTGTACCTCTTCCACAGTATCTGTGCATCATCCCACTTGTTTTTGTTTTTGTTTTTTTCCCCTCCATGTTCTGTTTTAGGAGTATAAAGCTGAAAATTAGCTGAGATGGTTCCTGCACTAGCATAGCCATTGTACAATATGAAATGCAGATTGCAAGGTTGTGATTGTGAGGTTTTTTTTTTTTTGACATTGCTGGGTCTAGTCTTTGTTATTCTGCTTGAACTGATCTTTATTTAATTCTTAGTATTAATTTGGCATTATATAGATATCTGTTAACAAAGTGTTTTCTCTGTTTTCTGCTGTATTACTTGAGCTGTCCCAGTTATTCTGGTGAAGTGGATTTTTTTTCCTTTGGAACGGGGAAACTCGCATCCCTTCCCTAAGCGTTTCTTGAGGGTCATGCTTCGTTGACTTCAGGGAAAGTATCGCACGGAATTCTGTAGTGACTACTCTGTAATTATTGGTATTGCACAGTAAACGAATGAATAATCTGAGAATGTGAGGAGTATCTATGCAGTTCAGGTCCAGCTGGTCTTCATGCTCCGCAACATGGTGACTCGAGTCTAATGGTTTAAGGTCGGAGCCACCTTATATAGCCCGTGTTGAAGTAGAACAGCTGTCTCGGTCTGTTGCTGAAAGTGCTTCTCTGTTTAACCAAGACCAGTGCAGACTTGAAGACCGTGAAGCTGATCCCAGAGATATCAAAGCAAATAATGACGCCTGAAGGTCAGGACCGTGTGGGGAAGGTGGTGTCACAGCACAGAAGGCTCTTGCTAGAGTGATACCATGCAGGCTTTTTCTGGATGAGAGTGGTCTGTTTTGTTTGGCACTATAGCTTTTCGAAAGTAGAGTTCAGCCATCTCTGGCCATCTGTCTGTAGGACTCACCTTTATCAGCTCAGGCTGGTAGATGTTAGAAGCCATGCTGGTAAATGTATCTGAAAGGAGAGCATGAAGCTCCATCTCCCCACATTTCAAAGCTCTGTGTATCTGTGTCTATTAAACACTGTCGTCTGTTTTTACTTATTTATGACAGTGTTTTTCTGTTACTGTTTGTCTGATATTTCACTACTGTTTTTGCCCTGCACTCCCATATACATGTTCCCTCCCCTGTACTGAGGCATAAGAATTTCACTGTGTTCCTCGGACAAGTGACAGAATAAAACTTGAATAAAGATGATGGAACTGTTGCCCATTGTGGGCTAAAACTGCATTTGATAGTAGGACCAGGTAGCTTCGCAATCATGCTTTTCAAATTACTGTCCTTTTCAGGAATCTCCTAAAGTGTGATATATAGTCAGCACTAGGCGCAATATTCTTGTAACTCTGTGCCCTATTTCTGTGGACTTGTTTGCGTAATCATTGTGACGGTGAGGAGCTTCACAGAACGTAAGTGATGCGTGTTGTGGACTTTGCGGTCACTAAATGCATACAGGCGTGCAAAGAGGAGCGCAGAGTTGACATGGTAGCTAATGGGCTCTCTGTGGCTCAGTGGGTCGGGACACTATCTGTACCCGGAAGTTGGTCCATGGCTGGTAGAGTGACTTCACAGTAAAGGGCCCTGAAGCCCAACTGCCGCTAGGACTGGCGGACTCTGCTTTCTCAGTTGTACACTTTGTATAGTTCTGTATGCTAAATAAATAAATGCTAATGTAGCTCATGGCTTGCGCTCTCTCTGACAGGGGCGTTCATTCCCGCCGTTCCAGTTCAACCTGTGGTGTTTCGCTACCCCAACAACATGGTAAGAGCAGTCACTCCATCACCTCCTTCAACACCCGTCTGCTCAATACCATGAACATTCATCGTTTCATTCTTGTCTGGAGCTCTTGGTAGTTGGTCCATGACGGGTGGCTATTAGTTTACATATGAATGTGCTGCTGATCTCCATACAGAATCTGAGAGCTACAAAAAAAGTTGCTTTGCTTGTTTGCTACTAGAAGAAATCTCCATATTTTTCTCATGTCAGACTGAGGTTGGCTTAACTCCCTCCGTAATCCAGTATCTTGTCCAGTATGGGGTTGCTGAGATCTTAATGCCCCTTCAGATGATTTCACACTCATTAATGGCAGTTAAGAGGTGTGTGGTGGTCTGCATCAGACGGTCTGTGTAGTGAGGCGTCTCCCTCCTGTCCGTAATGCATACAGGGCCAGAGGCGGGGGCCTCTCCCCTCCCCTCCATACCAGCACGCCTGTAAACCACCAGTGTCTGCCCCCCTGCTGCACATTCTCAGCATTTCTTGCCACTCACGTTTTTCTCTTCCTCCTGGCAGGATACCATCACTTGGACGTGGCAAGGACCTGGGGCGTGAGTGTCGTCGTCCCCCCCCCCCAAACACACACCTAGTTTTAACTCCAGCACAACGACCACATAACATTTATCAGTTAGGCGCTTATGCAGAGTGACTGACCCAGCTGGGCATGTGAGTAGAGGTTAAGGTTAGGGGCCACGCAGCGCGGGCTGACAGGTGGGGCCCTCCTTTGTCCCTGCCCCGGGGGCCACATCCCGTGATCAGTTGCTCCTTTCCCGCCGGTTGCTGTTTAGTGACACAGCACAGCCGGTGAACGTGAGACTGGGGCCAGGTCCCTAATGCTGGTCCGTGCATGGTGTGCAGATCCGAGTCACCGTGCCTTGTCCTCACCTAGGGTACCAGGGTACCTTTCATTGCCTTTGTCTCCTATACTGCGTACTTGCTTCCCCCCCCCCCATAAGTGTAGTGTTATGCTGCAGGGGTGTTATGGCTCTATGTCTAGGTTAATCCGGGTCAGCTGTGTCTGTACCAGCTTCCAGAGGTTAACAGCGTAGTTTATAAACGGGAAGATTCACTCTGCTATGCTTTTCCTATATTTATGGACTAGAACAGTTTAGCACATTTGCTGTGTTTTGCTTTTGGCCCATAAATGATGCTGCAGCTGCTTTAATGCTCCAGTATAATTAGGTCCTGTATTTGCCTCCCATAACTGTTTATCCAGTACAGGCTCGTGCAGTCCAGTCACACATACTGTGCGATTAAAGCTCGCAGCTCCAGAGGTGTGAGGCTGCAGTCTCACCCACTGTGCCACACACACACACACACACACACACACACACACACACAGTATATATTTGTGGCCTTTAATGAAAACCCACACCGTCTAATTATGCTTCGTAAAGCAATTGAAATGGTTACGATAAACAGCATCACAATACTCGTCCTTCGCACCGTGCCGCAACATGACCGTTGGCTATAAAATTATTTTCTAAATAATTTAAATAATGTTCCCCACACTGACACGCCCGCCTGTCGATCCCGATTTCTCCCCAGGTTCAAGATACTGTGGCTTACCTTGTGCCAGCTGCACAACCAGTTTGAAATCGAGGTAAGCCTTTAATCTGCCGAGCGCTCGCGTCTGACGCAGCTCGCCTGCTGCGAGTCCCATCACGTCAACATCTGGCTGCGGTGCCGATCCAGAGGAAGGCTCTGCCGCACTCACGCGCACTATTAACACGTTGGCGGTAATTACATAACACAATAGGCTAGAGCCGAATCGCTGTCGTAAACGTTCAGCTGTAAAAGTTGGAGTGAATCAGTCAGTCCTTTTGTAATAATGGCATAATGAAGCAGTGGGTAACGGAATGATGATCTTTCGCAGTGACATTTCAACCTTTATGCTCACGGCAGCTTTGTGTACGGTTTGGGGAAAAATCTACGACGGTCTCCAGCACTGGTATGTTTCTTTCAAAGGCCAAATTACATGAGCAACACAAAGCCAATGTCCACTGCGCTCAAAAAATGAAATCAGGGGGATCCCCTGATGATAAAATTCACTGACGGGGTGGGAATTGATCACACATATCAATCGTGTTTCGGTCCAGATCTGACCTACGTTTTCCAGTTGGTGACCACTGGTATGCAGCATATTTACTGTGGCACAAGTAAATTCTTAGGATTTGTGCACATTTCCATCATGTTGTCATATATTCTGGTAGATTTTAATAGGCTTCGGATTAATCTCGATATGTAAAAGATTCCTAGCACAGAGTTCCTGAGCTAGGATTATAGCAGTTTTGTGCCGGTTACTGAAAATGTACAGAGCTCCCAGTCTTGAGATTTCCAGAGTACTGGTAGTAATAATTGGATAGCAGAATAAGGAACGTCACCCTACCAGTGTGCCAGGTTGACAGGGCAGAATTGCACTGTATTGCAAGGGCCCGCTACTCTGACAGCTGCTCTCAGGGCTGCTGGCCCCGCGAGTCACATTCTGAAGCTCTGCCTCTGAGGAACCCTGCCAGGTAATGTATCAAGTTGCACATAAATAAGTAGAACCCGTTTAACTTAACGTGCAAGGAAAGAGCTTTGGCTTTTAAAGGGCTGCCCTCAGGTTCTCGCCACTGCATTTGCTGAAGTGATATCTGCAATCTAGCCTTGAAATCTGCTTTCATCTTGGGCCTACTTTAGGGAGCCTTGATTGTCTCTCTCTGCAGTAATATAAATGTTCCATTTAGTATCACAAGTGAGCCTGTGTTGTCGGAGAGTAGCAGAACTCTTTGATTACGGCCTTGTAGCCTCGCAAGTAAGTCCGTTGCGGTCGAGAATGGGGCGTGATCTTCTGTGTTTGCTTTTTTTCTTTAGTATCTCCCCATCTACACCCCATCCGAGGAGGAGAAGCAGAACCCCACCCTCTTCGCCAACAACGTGAGGCGGCTGATGGCCAAGTATGTCCCGCATCGAACCATCCCAGAGAACTGACACACTATGGGGTGTGTGGTCTGCCCCACTCGGAGTTCCCGGCAGGATGGGGGCGGGGCTTGTTCCCCAGGCAGTCCTGCTTCGGCTCTCCTTTATCACTCATTGAGCAAGCTAATGGTTTACGGCCCACTTAAGTGTCCCGGCCCACTGTGGTTTCAGAAAGTGACGCGGAAATTGTGCAGGAATTGTGCTGCGTGTGTCTAAGGAGGCAGAGAGGGCAAAGTTAACAGGGAAAGAGTCCACCATATTGGGAATGAGTAACGGTAAGGTTTAAGAACCACCAAGGAGCAGGATTCGGTAGTTAATAGCGCTTACCTCTGCAACGTAAAGGTTGGCGGTCTCACCGTGTTTAAATATTAGTAGAACAAAAAGGTTACCTTATGTTTAAAAGTGCTTTTGCATTTTAAAGCATGTATGACAAGCTGCAGCTCTCCTGGTCACCGACCTGCATTGTGTGTCCAGGGCACTGGGTGTTCCCATCACAGACTACTCTTTCGAGGACTGCCAACTCGCCATGGCCGAGGGCCAGCTGCACCTCCCAGTGGACACTGGCCTGCTGGAGTTTGCCGGGCTCGTGAGGCGATTGGGGTAGGTGGGCCGCCCCAGGTGCCCCATGCTCAGGGGTACATGCAGCCATGCTTTTGTCATCTGGAATCATTTCATGTTTTGGATTTAGTCTATTTTAAGGAAATACAGTATTTTTATGCGCTTACTATGACGAAGGAGAACACGTTTCAGCTCACTAAGCATGTTTTCATTTTTATAGGACTATGTGTTTTTTTCAAAACTAAAGGAAGAGATCATCAACCTGAATTTTGGTGGTGTACTGCCATCTAGTGGATGTCCACTGTAAAATTATTTGTGAGGTCAATTTGCTGAACATTGAATTGCCTTAATGTATTCTATCTCATGCAAACTTGAAATGGATATTTTTAGAACTGTGAATATTTAAAGCTTGTGTCTGGAAAATGAGAAGCCCAGTTACATCTCTATAAACAAGATGATTAAAGGAGTCTGTTTGGTGCTGGTGCTTTGGCTTGAATGACGTCCGGTGTGTGTGTGTGTGTATATATATAGAATTATTTATTTTAATTTTGCAGCTTGAAACCGGGAAACACTGAAAAGGCCCTGTGGGAATGTGGGGAGAGAGCCAGCAAGTTACAAAGAGAAAAGCTGCCCTTGGAGGACTTTGCGCAGTATCTGGGTGTCCCAGTTTCATCCGCGCTGAGAGACATGTTTGATCTCTTTGATGAAGTAAGTCTGAAAGCCATGCGGCAGTTTTATTTACATACCAGAGCATTTATTTATATAGTTCAAGTAATTCTGGTTTTCTGCCAGGTTCAGTGTCTCATTCTAAAATCCCGCTGGCATAATGTGCAACTAATTCTGCTTTTCCCATATTTTTTATGTTCAGTTCAGATGATAATTGTCAAAAAACATTAAGTACTTAAGCGCTTGATTTCATAAGTGCATGGAAACATTAATTTGCTTTTGTTAGCATATATGTTAGAAAATATTTCAGTGTTGATTCGTATTGTATTGTGTGCCATTGTAAAACTCGTTCATTATGGGATGTAAGCAGTGGTAAAGCACTGTGACCTCCTGTGACTCTACAGACCTTGTCTAAGGGCAGCTGTAATTGTGCTGGTTTTAAATGCCATTTAAGAATCCTGAGGATTCTCCTTCGGCTGATTAGTTTGACGTGGTGCCAAGAGCCCTGTTCCAGAATCAGGCGACGATCAGTCGTCTCTGACGACTGTATAATGGAGACGGATTTGTAGAAGAGTCACGACTAGCTGTAGAGGGAATTTTTGTGCAGAGCGACCAAGACCCAGGATGTGTAACAAATTAACTGCCGTAACGGGACTGTCCCCATTTAATTTCTATCTGTGTGTGTTTTCCTCAGTGAGATTATTAGAATCAGCCTTATAGGTTGTCCATTGTTCTTATACATTCAGTAGACACTGTTATACGATAAGTCTGGTCACATGCAGTCTGTTAATGCCTGTGTGATTCATAAATGTATAAAAAGTACAAGTGTGTGTCAGTGCAAGGAATGTTGGAATAAAAAAAAAAATAGGGTTAGTGTCAGTGGTTATTTTCGCTCCTTAGGCGTTTTCGTAGTGGAGTAACTAACATGTTGGTTTAATGAAACATTAGCATTCCAGGGTGGCTAAATGCTTAGGCTATCCTAGGCTACAGGCTCATGCCCAGTCAGAATCAAGGGAATGGTATGTGGAATGGTATAATGGAATCAATGGTTAGTTTGATTAAATCTGGCTGATCGACTTCTAATTTCATTAAATCTGGTTTTACTGCCGGCACCCTGCATGGTGATTAGCGAATTATTGACGTTCTAATTCTCTACCATTTCTGTTTTGGCTCTAAAATATAGCTCAGGTGCCATGTTATGGGGGGGGTGCTAGCCTTGTCAGCCTAGGAACCCCAGACAAGTTAATCTGCCCTGTTAATATTAAGCAAAAGTAGGGCATTCAGTCTTGAGTGATTTATATGCAGTAGATTAGTGGTAAATCTGTATCAACTTGTCTTGTCTCCCGATTAACATTTGCATGCTTTCTATGGTATTTGATGTCAGTTCTTTCATTTCTTTATGTTGTGTTATTATTCATTTAGAATGAGGAAGGCAAAGTGGACGTAAGGGAGTACGTTATCGCCTTATCGGTTGTATGCAGACCATCGAAAACTCTGGATACGATAAAGCTGGCTTTCAAGGTAGGCCCCCTTCCTCCCAAAAAACAAGCTGCCGGAAAGAATGAACACTTTTGGCCTATAGGCTATTAACTGAACCACCAGTGCTATGCTGATTAGGACATTGCTTTAGTGTGACGTGGTCATCTATCTTCTGGCAGATGTTTGAGGCAGAAGAGGATGGAGCGATCATAGAGGCCGAACTGGCATGCATTTTAAAGACGGCCTTAGGGGTGTCAGACCTGAAAGTAACGCGGCTCTTCCATGCTATCGATGTTGACAACAAAGGAAAAATCACATTTGGTAAGAAGCAGAAGTTGACGTTAATTCACAGTTGACTTTGGTTTATGGTTTTATGGTAGTTTTGGTACAACTATTGAATAAGTATTTAAAGTTTCCAATCTACTAATTTTGACTTTATTTTGGGAAACTGGGTGGAAGATTGCACTGTTTTCTTAATTACTGTTAGATGGTTTATCAGTCTTAATAGTGTAACTTGTCAGCTGTAAAATTAGAAAGGACACCAGGAGACCTAACATGTTTAACTTGGGGCAGTGAAGTGAAAAATTGGAGAGAGATCTTTCCATTTTGAGACATTTTATTTTTACTTCATACATTTCGACAATGGATAAAAAGCGATTTACTTAATGTCATAGTTCATAAATTCATTTTTCTTGTTACTTGGGTACCATCGGAAATGTGCCTCAGCTTATAACACTTGACAGTTGCAAAGTGCAGTTATTGACTGTTTCTTGCACCTCCTTGTGGCAGACGAGTTCAGCAGCTTTGCAGAGGAGCGCCCTGACTTTGCCAAGGAATACCTCCATCCAGACCGGGCAAGCTTCCAAAGTGGCGTTGAATCCCTGTCCAACGTGGCCAATGGCTTCTGCCCAGACATCACTCCCGAAGAACATGACGGCCCCCGGAACATTCACCGTAAGAAGCTCAACTGAGTGCCCGCTTGCTGCGTTTGCCACCTCTCTCCTGGAGAGAGAGGTCATGCGGGCTCAGCATACCCTGCAGGGCCAGCTAGATGAACTGTTACGTTCCACCCCATATCTCCTCATCCGCTACATGCTGGGATTATTGTTTTAAATCATTTTTGAGAAAGAGATTGGAATCTCTAAAGGCAAATAAGCTTCTCCGTAAAATATGTGGAAGCTCTTATTTTACTTTAAGTAGCTCTGTGTTCCAGATGCATGTTTTTGAACGAAAACAGCGGGGATTAAAAGAGCCTCGGTTGCGCTGTAATGCCTCAAGTCAATCGTTATCGTGTTCATTTTTGTGCGTGGATGTTTTGTAATAGCAGCCTTGGAAGTAATGCGTCGAAATGTGAGCATTTGGTTATTGTGGCTTCACAGTGGGTTCACGCAGTATTATTAGGAGCCTGAAAATTTAGCGTCTTTAAGCAGCGTTAGTGAGGGGGGGGGGGTGTCCCGCGGGTTTCCTGCTGTACTTTAGGGGAGCTTGACAGCAGATGAAGTGGCCCCTATGCTGGTTATAATGGACAAATCGGTTTTATGATTAGCAGAGGGGATTGGTTGTTTGACTAGGGTAATTAGCTAGTAGAGTCTCATAAAGCTTTCCTGGGTTGGCACATCTTCCTGTCTGGCCAACCGTTCATCATCCTTTTTTTAACTTGTTTTTAAATCCGTGCCCCTCCACACTTAGACATTCCTCAGACGAAAAAAAAAAATGTTTTCTAAGAAAAATTGCTCCGTGGACCAAATACATCTAGATATGGCTGAAATACTTAAGGCAAACCCTTATTTTAACCGTTAGAAAATTTCAGGCCTTGTGCGGTTTTATGAATGGGACGTGAAAATCACGGCTCCCGCACTTGGGACCGGGCTCAGAAAATAATCGCTACGTTCTGTGAAGTCGACATCGCACCAGCTTGTCCTTATGCCTTATTTGGAGATGGATGGGGAAATTTAATCACATTTTTTTCTCCACTAGTCCCCATTTAAAATTGCCCGGCCCGAATGTGTTGATTTCAGATTTGCATTAAATGTTTCCCCCTTTTCAATACAAAATAAACGTCTTCCTTGGTTCCTGCATGTACCAGATAAATGCTAGGAACAAAGGTTTAAGAATCACCGATTTAATTTTTTTTTTGTTAGTTCAGTGTCTGTATCCATAAGATCCTTTAGCAAAGATGACTGAACATAGTTGGTTATGATTTTTGTAAATAATTGGTTAATAAAAGTTAGATTTGCACATTGTTTGCACTTTTTTTAATGTGGAATGTTAGGTTGTCTTTTTTTGAAGGGGGGTGGGGGGACAATGCAGTTTTCTGGAGAACCTCACTTTCATCAACATTTTATACGCATTTCCGTTATAGTATTTTCAAAATCCCTCGATACGTAACTTTCTGGCAGTTGTTTAATACACCTGAAAAAAAAATTTTCCATACAAAATTGTTACATTTAAATAGTTTTTAACACATGGTGGTGATCTGTTTTTAAATATGGGTTAAGATATTTGCATACATTTTATGATACAAACCCAGATGTTTTTAATGTCCATTTAAAACAAAACAAGCATTCAACGGTTTTCTTCCTAAGGATGTGTATCTGCTTCCTAGTTTTATAAGCCAAACTATAGTTGTGTTACATTGGTTAAAAGTGTTTTTGTAGGCATAAATTATTTTTGTGTTTTTAACTTGTCATAAAGGTCCAGGGAAAATTGAAATTAGCTAGTCTTCATAATAGTGAAAATGTGAACGTAAAAGAGAGAATCCAAAAATTGGGTGTCCTGTACTATAAGCTGACACCTGTCCAGCCTTGAAATGACTTCTATCCTTCGCCTGTATTCAGCATGATTTAATAGGGAGAGGGGTGAGCACGCGATTTCCAGCATCTGCATGTAGCTTATTCCGTGGCACGAACCTGGCAGCGCTCACAGCTGTATCCTCACAGAACCCCCGGTTTTATGCTTATGCCCGGGATACGTCTGTCGGATGTACATGGACATGTGAAAGCCCGTTTTCTTTTATTTCCTTCCCTTTTTTAAACTGACATTTTAGTCCATCTAAAAGCCGCTTGTTTTTTTTTGTGATGGTCAGAGATGTGGTTTTACACTAAAGGCTGTCTTGGCTGCCAGAAATAACGGTATGTCTGACTAAAGACCTGTTAGAAAGTTGTAGGTAAACCTAGTTAAAAACAAGTTGGCGGTTAATGTTGTTTTTTTTTTTTTTTTTAACTATTATAGTCCAGGTCTTGTTATATTATAATTAGTATTCCTACATACTAAATGACAGTGGCAGAAAATTGTAGCATTTGATCCCAAGCAAATGTTACGATGCAGTACTAATGCCTTACAGTTCACTTTTTTTATTGGTCCTTTTTAAAACGGAGTTGCTGTGACTTTGCTATTGGTAGAATATTGGATGATCTTAAACTTACTGGTTTACACTTGTTACTCCTTCCCCTATTTGGATATAGTGTCCCGCTTTCACAGTATGGTTTGCACTGTGGCTTTACACTGGTCCCATTTAATTTGTTACTTCCCCGGATTTTTAACGGTGTCCTATGAAGATAATAAGGTATAAGGTTCTTTGCTAGCTGTTTTGAATTTTCCAAATACAGGGCATTTTGTGAATTTTGATATACAGTGATAGATTTCCCTCCCCTTCTTCACACTGCCATGTGTACTTGATCTAGATCATTTTATGTTTTATATTTCTGGTTTGGATACGCGTCCTGTACCTTTTACATTTTTTTTGTACGATGATGGTAAATAATGCTAGACGAAAGTATTCCTGCATTCCACCTATTTTTTAAATGTGTTTGTTTATTTTCCATTTAAATGGGGACAAAAAAAAAAGCATAAATGATCATTGAACGAAGTTTTAAAACATGTTTCTTATAAGAGTGAATGTATTACAAAGTCATTCCTTCGCAGTCGAGTTTCAGATGTGTTTTTAGATAGCATCGACCACAGTCTTATTTTTACATGAATGTCTTGGTTTTTTTTTTTTTGCCTGTTAAGATGACCTTGACTAGCAGTTATTCTGTGCATGACAGGCCTTTTACCAGGCAGGTGTGGGATTCCATGTTCATGGGGGGGTAGAGGAGTTTAGGCAGTGTTTAAATGTTCACCTCTCACCTTGATTAGCGTGTTTGTGCTGCCATCTCACTAGATTTTGATTCAAGTTGTTCACTAAAATGTGACGCCATCTTTTGAGTTTTTCAGCTATTGCTGTTGAGAACAGACGGTGTTCTGCAATCACACCTTGAAAGAAGCAGCCAGTTGACAATTTTCTTTCCCTTTAAGAGGATGTTGTTGAATGTGTATGCATGTGGTCTGTCCCACCTGTATGACTGCCTCTTCTCAGGATCTCTGCCTATCTAAGCTGGAGTGCTGTTTTTATTATGATTGCTAGTTGACAGATTGTACATACAGCTTGACAATTACATAAATAATGACTAGAACTGTAAAAGCAATTATTTGCTTTTATAAATTCTGATACATGTGGGGTTACTGTAAGATGAAGGTATTCAGTCCTTGATCCGCAACAGTCACTCTAATTCAGAATAGCTGGTCACTTGTGAAATTCTGTAAACAGCGCTGTGAAATTTCTCCCACTGAACCCAATAGGGACAGACGGGCAGGGGGAGATATTTGGGAACACGAGCTGATTTTTATTTTGTGTATCTATTGCTTGTTTAAATACCTCGTAAGAAGAACCCATCGGTCAGTTAACAATTTTTGAAAGGGTCATTAAAAAAATGAACTGAAGTTTTACTTTATCCTTTTATTGCCTGCTTGCTACTGCTCCACAATCAGCTGAAGACGAAAGACGTCCTGTTTCCTCTCCTTACTGGAGTGATGCCCGTCTTTCTGATGGCTTCTTGTGTGGGGCTGCATTCCCCTTTTCTTACTTTACTTTTCCCCTTTGTTTTTAACATATGTAAAGATTTGCATCAAACTACCTTGGACTGTCTAATTGAGACTGGTATGATTTAACTTGTCATTGTGACTCAATAATAAAAAAAAAGAAAATGTGTGTTTTTGCTTCTCTTTTCTCCATTCCCTCTCTGGTTTGTTGTGTTTTTCCTGCCATGTATTGTGTGGTGAGTTGGCATGCCATCGTGGGCTTTCCTCTGGGTACTGCGGTCCCCCCCCCCCCAGTCCCAACAGCATGCTGTGGTTAATTGGAGTTACCAAATTGTCCGTGTGTGTGTGTGTGTGCGTGCGTGCGTGTGTGTGTGAGCCTGAGATGGGTTGGTGTCCCATCCTGAGCCGTTTCCTGCCACGGCCGCTGGACCCCCTCTACGACGCTGAATAGGATAAGCAGTTACAGGAACACGGATGGACGTTTTCACACATTAGTGTTAACACTCGTGCTAGGACATGTACTGAGCTTAATGAAAATTACTCAGGTATGCTTGCACTCATTTTTTTTATATTTAATGGTTGCTGTACACTGACATTTCGGGCACTTTTCCACCGCACCAGGTACCGTACTTTTGGTACTTTGAGAGTGCTCTTCCACTGCTGTAAAAACTGGTACCAGCACTGAGTGACATTACAGTACAAGGCGCAGTATTTGGTACTGAATGCGAAAAATGGCTGCGGTATATTAAGGGGCTGGGTGATGTACGATATTGATTCCAACATCGCTTGTTATGCACATGCAATTCTTACATCGCTTGCTAGATTACGATCAGGCTTTTTCTTACTTTCAGTTTTGTACGGACATTATAGCGCAGGAAGTTTAAATTTCGCTAAAACAATTTTACTCTGTCATAGATTAATCTGATTTTAAAACAGATAAAGTTTGCCTCTGCTGCGTTTGAATAAGCGCTGCATGCGTTCTCTGAGACAATCGTAATAATTGTTTTAAAGCACTAGTAGATGGGTTTGCCAGAAATGTATGAACCCCTTTTTGCGTTATAAATACCCCAATATTTATTACGACAAAATCACATCACCGGGACGGCACGTTATATGCATGTTGTTCTAGTACATTAAACAAAATGCTTTTTTAATTTCTTGTCATGCAATTCTAATCTTTTTCTTGTATCTGTTCTTCCGACTGATTGCTGCTATTCTTTTTTTTTTTTTTCTTTGTCGTTGTTTTCTGAGTTCATAACTTTTTTTTAGGATTGCGATTGTATTGTACTTCAGAGGCAGGCTATTTGCATAACCAATCAACAAAGAAACCGTTTCCAGGAAGTACCAAAAGTACAGTACTTGGTTGCGGTGGAAAAGCACCCTTAGCCAATTTACTAAATACTGCCTTGATAATCGCTGCACCAGCTTATTTCCAAAAGCAATGATAATTTGACTCCAGTGTATCTATTTTTATCTTATGAAAAGCTCTTGAAATAGTGCCTATTTTGTTCCATAAATTGGCACAGGAGTCTGTGGGATTTGTTAAGGACTTTTAGATGAAAATTTAGTGGGGTTGATGTGATTTATCTGTGAGATTTGTGATGAGTGTTCAGTATAAATTACATTTTTGCATAGTAAGTTTATTCTATGTGATGAGACCTAAAAATGTCAAGCATGAAATGTAAATCAGCAGTGTCTCATTTCACCCCTTACTTTGACTATTTGAGAACAACATTAGCCAATTAGCAAACAGGTTTGTCGGTGGAATTGTACCTGGGATGTGACTGTTCTGTATGCTGCCCCTGAAAGTAATTGTGATGGAAGTTATTGCCCCTTGTGCTGCACCTGTGCGCTGCATGTTGTATTTCCTCCTGCTTTTTTCCTTGTTTCCACAAAGTGGCTGCAGGAATAATGAGTATAATGAGAATCGTGAGATTCCTGACCCACACTCGGGATGTGTCTGGGTGAGCTGCTTCAGTACGCCAAACTCTCACTGACAGGCCTGCACGGCCTCTGCGCTTCCTTTCATAAACCTATCGGAGTAAGACTGAGCGGATGAGAGCATCTATGGAGAAATGTAAGTGTTACTAATGTGAGCAAACTTTTTATATTCAGTTTTTTTGCGAAATCGGGAGCTGAAGTTGGGGATGTTTTAATGTTTGGGGGACTTGAGCCCTGATTGAGGAATGCACAGGTACCTAAAGATCTGTAGGTACTCTGTTCTGTGCAAGGCTCCAAGACCATCTCCAGGGAACTTAGTATTCCTGTGTCCACTGTGCAACATTAATCAGATGTTTACAGCCCATGGCACTGTAGCTAAAATCCTGGGACGTGGACATGAGAGATATTAATGCAAGATCGCTAGGACAGATCATTCGGATGGTGGGTAAAGAACCTCAATCGACTTCCAAACACGTTCAAGCCGACTTGCAGACACGGTACAACAGGCATAGTTCAAAAAGCACCCATAAATGATGTAATACAAAGCACTGGAGAGTTCAGACCTTAATCCCATAGAACACCTAAGAACAGCAGTTGAGAGGAGGCGCCCTTCCAATCGGGGAGACCTGGAACAGTTGGCAAAAGCGAAATGGTCCACAAATCCAGTAGAGAGGTGTAAGAAACTCTGAACTGACTGGTTTCAGTTATTTTATTGTTTCCAAAGGGTCTGCTACCATATAATAAGTTGCAGGTGGCAATAATTTTGTCCAGTCTATTTCTGGAGTTCTGCGTGGAATGATATCAGAGTTTACTTTTTTCCCCTCTGCTTTTTTTGTGTTGTTCCCTTGCAAACAAAACAAACATGTGAATACCAAAGCATTTGTAATTGTGACAGTTTTCTGGGAGACGTGCTGCATTTGTAAATTGCACATATATTTTATAAAGGGCTTCGAACATATCTGAGACGGCACATAGTTAAGCATGCCTGGAATGTAAATGATATGCTTTTTACCTATTAAACACGTTTTATATAAATTATTAAAGTGCTGCATTGTCTCATTTTGTGCTGTTACATCAACATAAGTGTTTTTTTTTTCTTTTATCAATGTTTTGTGCTGCAGTGCAATCCTTCATTATACCTGTTAAATTCCATTATCTTTCTCAGATTTAATTCGTTTAAGGTATTAAATTTCAAAAAGGTTACAAAAAAAGGCCTAACTTGATGGCGGTCCGCTGGTGCCTGCAGGGGGCGATGGAGCCCATCCGTCGGTTAGGGAGCAAACCGGTGACTGGAGGGAGGATGTGAGAATTGAAACGGCAAGAGAAGCAAGTAGTTATGTGAATAATCATGGTGTTCGAGGTTAAATGATTAGCTGGCGTCTCAGGTGACATCAGTTACATTTCTCATTTGACAAAATTTTCATTTTAATGTTTAATTGTGACATATTTTTCAATATAGAGCTATGCTTTATAGTAAATTGTGTGTATAGCGCAGTGTGATTGTCCTTTAATTGTAAGTTATGTACTTAAATTTTGCAAATGGATGAACGTCTTGTAAAAATATCCAATTTTAACATGTGCTGATACTTCCTTTAAATGGATTATATTATTTGCTAATTTTGTGATCTGTGTAAATATTTGTTCCATTTGAGTGCAATTATGAAATCACACCATTAAATACGTCGAAAAGCATATAAGTATTATTTGAATTTAGAAATCAGTGAATATGTTTACCGTAGCCTTCCAAAAATGATTAGCGGTATAGCCTTGTTATCCCCTTCCATTTAAATTATTAGAACCTATGTGATAGCGACCTTTGTTTCATATTGCTGTAGAGCAGCGATTCTCAACCCATGGGTAAGTTCTTAATTTAAACCTATACCAGATACAGAGTAGCGGCTGAGCTGGCATGGTAAAATTTGGTTGAGAACCACTGTTTTTATACCACCGGTTTAAAAATATACAATGAAGTAACCTGAACCTAAAATAAATAGCATTTTTCTGCAATGCAGGATACTGTATCACATTACACACACACAAACCCTCTGGGCCACACCAGTTTAAGGCTGTACGGAGTGATCTACTGGGTAAAGTTATCCTCCCGGGACATTGTAGTGCATGGTGGTCCGTCTGAAGCAGAAACTCCACGCTGAGTAAATAGCATTTAAGCAACCCGAGAGCCCTTATAATAGCGACACGCTCTTTCTTCTGCCGCTGCGTGGCGTCTCTATCTTGGTAACGGTTTCCTGCTGCTGTGCACAGCAGAGCGATGCTGCCCTGGGGCCCATTTCCAGTGAAGTCGCCTGTCTGACCTGAAAAGCACCTCAGTGTTTGCGGCGCTCTGCAGAACAGCGATCGCATAGATTTTTTTTCACTTTTTTGCCCCCTGCTTACGGTTACTGGGAGATGCAATACGAATCTTCCGGTCCGCTTATAAATATGACATAAAATCTATATGGTTTTTTCCCCGTTGAGTGTGACCGCTAATTCGTTAATTGGAGCTTCTTCTGGATGATGGTACACAGGTATATTGTTAGTTTTTTTCCCCTTTCTTTTTTTGTAGTTGGTAAACATCAAAATATGTGGTTTATGAAAATATGGACTTGATAAAGACCGCGTTTTTGTCTCCCTCAGGTGTTTCAAAGGAGTACTACACACATTACGAATTCATATTCGGATTCTGTTACACCGTATAATGGTGTTGATACAATTTCTGAGTATTTTGTATGGCGTGTTTTTATAACAGTATAATTTATTTTCATGTCAGTTTACGTAAATTTATTCATAAAGTAGAATCATGTGGTTTTGAGACTGGTCCTCCGCCACCGACGGGCGCCGTTACAGATTTTGGGGCCTCAACCCGAGACAAATCCAATTATGTTCCAAAATCGTCCTGAATGAAATGAAAGCAGCGCCACTTAGTGGTAGCATGTGAAAGTACAGCTACATATTCAGATCTGTTGAAGTTATTTGCATTGAGACAAGTCATGCAAAGTTGTTTTTTTTTTAATGAAAGATTATTTTGGAGAGGTGGAGATTGTGTAGGGGGCTAGAAACTAGCGGCTGAGGGTTGTGGGAGGTGTAGGGATTCGATGGATGGGGTCAGGGGCGGGGGGTGATCGGGCTGTCGGGATCACACTGTCGTCATTTTGACAACATCTAGTTTATCAAGGAGTGTCATTTGTACTTTTTTTGTAGATTGAGCAGTACAACCTGGTATAATGCATC